ATCGCAAACTCATCAGATCTTGAATCCCTTCATATTCCGTATATTTTTATTCTTGCCCTATAAACATAATATACACCAAATAAGCATAATTGTAAGTTCATTTGGCGTACGAGAAGCGATAAGCTTTTATTTATTTTGTTTAAAAGTTCGTATTCAAAGCAGGCATACAAAGCAAATAAAAACAAAATTACTGAACGAGATATAGAGGTTCATCCAAGATATTTTGTAAGAAACAATGAAGAAGAGTTTCTAATGGTAAGCAGAAGCTGGTATGTGCATGGGTATATGTTTATGGGAGAGTGATGTAAAATGTTATTAAACAAAGGATAATTAAGATAAATTTATAAGAATTTTCATATTTTGTTATACTGTAATAATATTGTTTGAGGCTCTCAACTAAAAATAACTTGAAATTTTCTAATAACAATTTATTAAATTTTCATATTCTCAGAATTACATGTATACAATGGTCAAGCAGAGTCAGTTGCAATCTATAACACGTACACGAATGCTACGTCTACTTCGGACGGAAATTTACGAAACTTACATTTGGCAGCAACTTTTGGGAAATATCATACAATATTGAATACAAATATGTTTCTTATGTTATGTATTTTATCTCATTATTTAATAAAGAGAAATAATTGAATACTTGTATTTTGAATATGAAAACGGTTGCTGCCTCCTGTAAGCAATCTACAATAATTTTGGACTATCCTACACACTTCTTCAACATTGCACAAAATATGAGGCACTTAATTCTAAAATAGTTATGTAATTTGAAACATTCACACAACATTCCACTACTGTTGGTTCTGCTGTGGCAGTGATATGTAGAAGAATAGTTTGTACTTATCTACTGCGCAGAAAATATCAGCGCTTCTTGGCAAAAGACAAATAAATGAAGACCACTTTCAGGCAGCCATAGACCTGGCTAATGATTATCCAAGTACGAGAATAATCATAACCAATACTGAACCTTTTTTATTTTGCAAGCAAAAATTGCACTCTTCTTCTTTCATAAATAAATTACTTTTTAAAACAAATTTCAGTACATTTTTTATAGTTACATTTCCTTATTTTCTGTTAGAACATGTATTTCAGGTCATACCAAGACGTTTGTTATATGATAGCTTTATTTCAATACAGGATAAACAATAGACAATAATAATCTTAGCGCTAATGGCAAAAAATATTGATTTTAACAACAAATTAATTTTTAACTTATTGATAGGCTTTACAAGTTTCAAATATTTGCGTTAATTCGTATTATTAATTATTAGTCATTACTACATATTTATTTTCTGATTTGTTTTATTGTATCTTAGATTCACTTTTCGTATTGTCAACTTTTTTATCAAGTTATAATTTCTTTTATTGTTTTTTAATTGTCAATAAAAAATTGAATTGCGATTCTCAGGGTCTGTTTACTATACTTTTTAAATTGAGAAGTCTGAAAGAGATCACCACTCATACATTACATGTATTTTGTTTATTCCTCTTCCAGATGTCACTGTTAACAATTTTGTCACAATTGTTTAAAATTGATTACATTACATTGGAGACACTCTCATATTCGGGTTTATAATTCCATCTCCTCCCAATTGACTTAAAATATTTCCATTAAGGCTAAATGTTTAATTTTCGCATCAAAATAATTTCAAGGGAACAAATTTTAAAACATATATGAACAACTCTTAGCACAAAGTCGTTTTATGAAATATATAAAATAAAACAAGTGTGGTGGATGAAAGAAACACTACAAGAAGTATGAAGTATATCGTGAAGTACTAACATTATTTTTTCAAAAAAATGTATCAACATCATACTATGAAATATGAGTTTGGTTTTCCTTAGAAGAAATCGAATTAATTCATATTCTTGTCAATATTAATTTACGGAATGATAAACATGTGTTCTTAAGGTATTTGAGATTTTCAGTTCTGATGAAGGCTACATAATCGAAAAGTTGATATTCTGAAATATAGTATTTACCTGAATATTGTCATCAATATTCATTTCATTCTCAAATAACAAAGTTTCATAAGATAAGCCTCCATCACAGCCGCTTAAAAACGTTAAGAAGTTACTTCGTGACTAAATCTTCCGAGTTCTCGACAACATAATAACAAAGGAGGAGGATACTATTGACGTGATGTTGACACTAATGATTTGCTGAACAATGGAGAGAAAAACGCATGCCATATTGAACACATCAGCTCATACTTTGATATGAAGCTCCTTAATTATTTCTTATTTGTAGTATTTAGATATTTTTTATTATAGTATACTTATTGTGTCAGTGTACTTATTATATTATTGATTATACTCATGACAAGAATTGTACCTGTTTCTTGGTTCTTTTTAAAGATTGCTGGTATGAGCGCACAACTGATATTCAATTGCGAATGTTGCTTCTGCAAGTCCAAATTAAAGAATGAAGAAGAGAGAACAGAAATTAAAACATAAATAGCAGGAAATGTAAAACAAAATTAAGAAATATTGAATACTATATAAATAGTTATCATGTCTATTGAAAATAGTCACATCTAGCAGTTAATTAAGGCAGTTCGTGACTTCTCGGAGAGTGAATGTATTTGACTTTGTGGTGAGTTTTGATCGTTGGGTTTAGTATTATAAATCGTTAGTTTACTTATGATACAATTATATTCCCTTTTCTACATGCCATATATCCTTGTTATCTAAAATGCTTTTGTTATCTCTGTACATACCATTTATCGCCAAGAACGTCATTTGAACTGGCAGCGTATCTTGCGACAGAATATATTTTCTTTTCGACAATATTCAATTCCTACCGAAAATATATAATGTTCTTATTATCGGCGTGTAGTTTAACTTCTGTTCTCTACTCTTAATGAGATCATGTTGATTCGAGGTCCGCATCTCTGACAGATGAGTGTATTTTATTTTTCTCTGAAGGGTGAAAGTCATACAATGATCTTCAGAGGTTGTTGGCCAGATTTTTACCCCAAAAAACAACTCTCATTGAACTTCTGCTCCGAAAACATCTACTTACATAATATAACAATAAAGTTGTTTAGTAAATGTTATTATGGAAGAAATATTTCCATTGTTCTATAGTACATCGCTCATTCTTTTCGTAAGATTCGACTGTGCGAAGCAAAAACGAGTGCTATGTTTTGGATGATGGTGTATATGGGATTATTTGTTACCACCTGATGCCTGACTGAGTCGACATATATTCTTGTGTCACATATACTTACATACGTCTTGAAATCGTGAATGTCATAGGCTATACAAAGTCCTCCTGGGACTACCGTGAAACGGGTCAAATTATCGATTTTTGTTTTTTTGGTAAATAAATAGTTCAAACTTTGCTCTTTCCAAATATATCAATTTCTGGACGCCTGGATGTTCCATTAATTCGTATTTATATGTCTTAGTGCGCATGAACCAAGCTCACTTTTTTGGCACTACATACAAGTATGTGCAGTGTATGTGCTACACTTTCGTAATTTTGAACAAATGTGTGTTAATCAGTTAATGAAACATGCTCTTGATCATTCGTTGGTAGCATTGGTCTTTTCCTCTGAAAAGATGATTCACAATAGCAAAAATGTTCTAATAGAGCAGCGGCAAGTGCAGACTTTTTTCAAATGGCGTTTCCCGACAGTGTACTTATTTTGTAATTAATGTACCTTTTCTCAGAAAATATTATTCATAATTTATTTAAATTAACAGAACACATTCTTAACAGTATTAGCAACAAAGTGACATTTTTATATAAAAGTTTCTTAACTCTATATAATAAAAAAATATAAAAAATTATGTTTGCCTCAAAGTGCTTAAAAATAAGGACAAAAGTTATCGATAAAAATACTAATAATTTGTTAATCAACTCAACAATGTTAAAATAATAAGAAACGTTTTATCTTTAAGTGTGTCAACATTTTTTATTTAACTACTTTCTAGAAAAGATACATCAATAGTAGCAAATTTAATATGGGCGGTATACTGTGGTACCCATTCCCCTTACAATATGCCAGACACGTGACTCCCTTTTACTCATTGTTTGTCTAAACGATTTTAAAATGTTCCTTATTTTATTGTTTATAGTTCAATGTTGCATCTTTATCTCAAGAGAGCTGGTGCGCAGTTGGACGATTTTTAAAACTTTTTATTCTTGTTAACCTGCACTGATAGCAGTCGGTCAACTTTTATATCGCTCCTCATGCTTGAAGAGGAAGACGCAGAAGCCATTGAGTGCTGAGAAGGAACAACCCGTAGAAATAAATTGCCTTGTTTAGAGACCCCGTGCTGAATCAATGAGATCGGTGTCTTTGAATGAGAAATGACAATGTTCCCAATGTCCTAGAAATCACATGCCTCTTTCCCTCCTTTTCATTCATTGCCCTCGCCACCTTTCTATTACAATGTGACGGAAATTCCTTGAAATCAGAGGGATGGAGAACTCTACACTGATAAAAATGCTTGTTTGATGCCCAAACATTCGTATGTGCTACTTACAGAAGTTTGAGAAATGGGCAAAACTGCTATTGAGTTTGCTGCAGCATCGTGGACTTCAATTACATAACGGCACACTCGTTTCACTTAATCAGAAATCAGTTAATTCTAATAATGCAAACATTTTCATTATAACAATGCTTACCTTGTTGGGAGTTTAAATCTTTTTTCAGTGTACAAATCCCCACACCTCACCTTCCAAGTACGCAGAAGATTTCGTCGAAAAAAATCCGATTGAAGGCAAACGATCTGTCTCGGTGTATTATTTTGGCTGCCCATAGGACGCCTCATCCTAGGCACAGTTTCCAATGTTTCGCCCGTTGCACAGCGACATTCTTCGAGAAGTGCGGGGCAATGAACTGTGCGCTGGTCTACAAAGGATAAAGTCCACCTTCACCCGGCTGCCGGTTGGTCGGACGATCGGCCAATGCGGAGAAAGCATTGCCCACCGCCGTTGTGTGTGTGTGTGTTTTGGCACCGTGCGCGAGGGCGCGCTAGGGCTCGGTGAAGTCGCAGCTGGCGACGTTCTCGCCCTCGTAGAGCGAGAAGTTGGTGATGACGGTGTCGTTGCTCCAGGCCAGCTCGCCCACGCAGCCGCTGAAGCCCGCGGCAAACAGGCCGCCCGTCGCTGCCTGCACCTCCTGGCCCTCCGGCAGCCCTCCTGCGCATGCGCACACCCGCCTTGTTTAGTAGTAGAAGTAGTGGTAGTACTAGTGGTAGTGGTACTAGAGGTAGTGGTACTAGAGGTAGTGGTACTAGAGGTAGTGGTACTAGAGGTAGTGGTAATGACGAGCCTGACATGTGACTCTCCCTTTCTCCACCAATTAACCACATACGAGCTCTCTGTTTTGGGAGAAAATGAGATCGCGTTAGGGCTGGATATTGTTGGTGGGATTTACTTTTGCCGGGCATACGCCAGGGTTCTTTTACGTGCCACAAGAGTGACATGTCCACTTTTGATCTTTTGCCCTTGCTTTTGGCAAACAAGTTTTGAATTACAACGAACAAGCGCATGCGTAGATCGAGAGCAATGAAATATCTGTACACATGCCCGCGTTTGCTGAAACTCGGAAATCGTTCGTCAAAAGGAAGTGTGAACGTCAAGTCTTAAGTAAATAAAAGTAATCGGGCACCATTAACAGCGATTGTTATTAACGTTGCACCGATAAAAAGCAAATATCAGACGGTTGAAGTTTGAGCGAGGTGATAGGAGTGTCTTATTTGTGTTATCCGCTGTGTGGCGTTCAAAACTTTTTATAATACTTTTTTAAAGACAAATCGTATAAAAAAATGTATTTATCCTATTCAGAGAAAATACTTAACGGCCACTAATGCGTAACTGGCTGATTACCACTGATTTCGGGTACGTCAACTGCTAAGGTCATCAGTCCTGTAAGTGTAGTGCGTGCGTTTTTCTCTTGAGGTGCCTGCGATCTTCCGTCGCAGAATGGCGAGATGCGGCACCGTTCTACCGGGGTTTTACCCAACCAGATATCTCCCACCAGCGGGGCATCGCCACAGCTGGGGTCAAGGTCCTGACCGGTCTTCCGGTATGTGTGTTAGTGTATTGCATGTAAGTGTAAGTGTGTGAAAGTAAGGGGTAGGATAGGACAAGGAATGCGAAGGAAAGATCGCGCGCGGTCCGTGGTCAGTTTAGTAGGGTACCGCTCCGGCATTTGCCTGGCATTGATCGGAGAAACCACGGAAAACTACCGTTCAGATCAGCCGGCCGCAAGAATTCTCCTCCAGACAACGACAAAACTGGATCTAGCAATCTGGCTAATGTCGAAAATCCTACCACCGTCGGGACTTGAAGCCCAGGACCTCGCAGTCAGAGACACTGTAGTGACATCAGTTGATGCCCTGAGTCATCTCTCCCTCTAATGTTTAAGCAGCCTGTTAAATGCTTAATGCTCGCCGGCTATTAAGAGTGACTTTTTGTTCCTCTGTTTGATTGCATTAAGACGATAATAACAGAACAAACAATATTTTCTTACTTTCCTTAAAATTATTGGTCCGCAGTAGTGATTTCGTTATGTGAAATTTAATTGGCGATTATCATACTTCTTTCTGGATAGACTAGATCTTGACTAAAAATAATCAATTTTCAAATTGTTATTTTTCTGTATTAATTTATTGTCAAACCAATAGTTTGATCTAGAAGTGTCTATTTGAAAACTGTCAGATTTTGATGATGCTCAGTTACTTGACTCAAAATTATCAGTCGATATTCGTACCCCAGAACATGTTTGTGTCATGTGTTTGAATAAAAAAATACTGATTCGTTTATTAGATTTCAATATGAATAAGATATTTGCAGATTATTCTTTAATATAATTTGAAGTAAATCATATTCCTTATACCCTTTACTACAAGAAAACAAAAGTTTCACGTATTACAAGATTGACGCAAATGGTAAGCTTCTTATTCTTATTTTTCAAATTTTCTTCTTGAAGTGGCCATTATTGGAGCCTTTACCCTAATGCTTCTAATAATAGCTTTATAGTCCACATATTAGCATCATTCAAATTGTATGTCGCCTGGGAACCTCAATTTGACAACAGTCCAGAAGAGAGATGTCGAATTATCGGTAGTAGATAAGCGAAGAACCTACTACTACCTACTACTATTCCTACAACTCTACTTCATTAAGAGCATTTTAGATCAATTATTTTGTATTAATATTAGTATTTTTCTTCTTGTTTGATAGAGTATACTAAATAAAATTATCGTATAAGTACTAAAATTCGCATTTAGTCACTTCATTGACTTTCCTTCCGGTATTTCTAATTTTATCAGTACCTTGTATTGTTAATATTCTGAATTCTGAACCAAGAGACATTAGTAATGGACGGCTAGTGACGGGTACTACATGCAGTGTCCGTGATGTCACACAATTGAGATGAGTAGAAGTAGAAATATTACTAAGATAACATTTTAGTAATGCGAAAAGACAGATATAATTAGATCCCGAAGAAAGCATCTACTACCCATTATTCGCCTATAGCCATAATGTGACAACTGCGTGTGCGCCAAAAGGTTAATACAGTACTGACTTATTTTAATTTATTGACGATTTTACAAGATAAATCACCTAAAATGAACAAAAAGTTTAATATTATTTTTCAGTTAATTCGTGCTCTTTCCATCCGAAGCCAGTTTCTCTCCACCACGCAATGTGATCTACTCGTTCCTCGTATCATGAACCGTTGAGGATCTTGGATCTGTAGAATAAATGGCCATTCGCAATACAACATTCAGGAAGACAAGAGGCAAACTTGATGGTTAGGGAGGGATTCTATCCTGGGCACACGGAGCTAAATGGCAGATCAAGGAGGAGCTAGACCCCCATCCCCAACATTTCAATACCGACCTTTTGTATTAGTACATTTAATCGTCGATGTTGACAAAAAGAAAAATGAAAGCGGATTTATTTTTTTGAACAGTAGCCTTCGCGTCTTGTTTCAAAGGAAGCGCTGCGTGAGTTTGACGCACGACAGGCTCTTGACACGTTCTCAGTTCTGAGTTCTCAATGTAAGGCGAATGCAAACCTGTTTGATATGAAAAGTGTTTAGTCAGGAAAATGCTTGCCTTCAGCTGTAGTGTAATTTTAATCCATAGCTTTTCTTCACCTAAAACAGGCGTTGAAGCAGGAGTGACGCGCGGGTTAAACTTCACATTTTCCGACATTCGAGCATAGTTTCAACTACGTGGATGGCTGCGTATGTGTACTTATGATGTTTAGGTTTCACGTCCAACTATGGCCAGGTAAGAAAATTGTGTTGCATTTTAGATGATGGCGCGCATCCAGTAGACACCCGCAGTAATGTATTTCAGACTGCCCGTAAGAAAGCAGACACCAGAACTGAGATAATGTCTTTAATGAAGGATTAGCTAGATTTACTGCAATGAGACAAAGAGTGTGGAAATGCCTTTAAGATATTTTGGTAGTGTTTTGGCAACTTTTAAATTACGCGTAGAAAATGCCGCTCGTTATGTTAAAACTACTCTCGATGGCTAGATACTGGACATTTCTAGAAATAGTATGTAAGGAAATGGCATGATTTGGAAACTTGTCAATGCAGTGCGACGTTGATTGCAAATGTCAGGTCAAAGAGGTGCCACCAACATGAGATGACCATAACACCCACTAGATAAACATAAGTTATAAGCGAATGTAAAAAACAATGATCGGCAACTCCATTTACTGCGGAAGAAACTTTGGTAGTGTGGTACAAAATAACATTGCAAAGCGACAGTAAAATGTTAGAACTGAAACAAAGAAATGTAATTGTAATAAGTACCTTCTACAAATAGTAAAAATGCGGAAGATGTTGGAAGACATATGAATTCATAAGCAAGAAGAAATAAATGTCGAGTTTTCTTGAAAAATGGTCCTTCTAGTAGCCAACGTAAAAAAGGTCGTGTAACTTGAAATAATGTTGGAAATATTGTAAGACGAATTCCACCAATATTTTAGACATTGACGAAGTTATCATTTGCCGTTTTGTATCAACACAGCGCTTAATATATTTTGATTACATAATAGACATTGAAGCATTCAATTATTACGCCTTAAGAACTGCAAAGTTGTAGCTTTTTACCCACTTTATTGTGTGCCTTCTTCCGTTCAGAAAATTTTCATTCGCGGCAAAAAAATTAAGTAAAGTGCTGGACTTCTAGTGGAACACGTATCTAATGAAGTGTAGGAAGAAAGACATTTGAGAAGATACAGGTTGACTTTCTAGGAAATGTTCGCGAAGAGATTTCTTAACAAATCCTAATATTGAATTGGGAATTTATGATTCACTACTTTCACTGACCAATGAGTCGCAAGAGAGGATACTTAAGGAGCAATATTCATAGGGACCAGAGAGAACAAGGATTCGTGAGATTATGTGCATCAGGAGAATCTGACAATTTTGAAAAATTAAAAAGCCCATTGAGTTATTGTAAATTGTACAATGTTCTGTAAACAACGAAAATTAATTAATTTTCCTTGACTATTCCACTCATAAAATTAAATTCAATAGTGTTTAACTGTACATACAAAATGTCCCAATCAGAGCGGTGTGTCTAAAAAAGTTTATCGCTTTTTCAATCTGATTTTTCTCATCACCTCTGCCTTCTTGTCAATCATAAACTGTGTCTCATCTACCTTAGGAGGCGTTATACATTGATCGCTATGTTCACTAAACAGCTTATGTACTACAACATAATCTCTGAATTTAACACAGCTTTCAGTTATTTTCAATATTTGGCCCACTTTGGAAAGCTTTTGGACACAATTGCATTCGTGAAATAGTCATATTAAATACCACTCGTGCTTTGAAAATTCTCAGGTAAATCCCCTCCTCGCTTCGCGAGTTGGCGACAATTTCCAAAGCACTCGTGGTATTACCTATGATAATCTACTTTCAAGAAATGTTTGTCGTTCAGCGTGTGTATTTTGTTTATATTAATTACGCATTATTTACTACTAATAATAAATAAAATGATAAAAATGAAGTATATTTATTATGAATCAGTTTCTGAACCCTAACGTTATATTCCCTTTCTGTAAAGATACGATGAAATTTACGTCTAGTTCCGTCTCGATTTGCGATTTAGCTCCCTGTCCGAGGTTGGCTCAGTTGGAAACAGACCAAAGAAGAAAATAAAACGTGTTACCTTTAACTGCTTATCTGATTAGTAATAAAAGCAAAGGTGAAAACGCAAAAAACTCAGTTGTGTTTAATGAATCAATTGATTCATGTTTTTGTTTATGTGTTTGTTTTTTCGTTTATTGGTTCGATTGTTTGTTTTTATTTGTTTGATTGTTCGTTTATATGTGTGTTTGCTTGCTTTTTTGTTTGTTCGTTTGTTTTGTTTATTTGTTTGTTGGTTCGTTTATTTGTGTATTTGTTTTCTTGTTTGTTTGTTCTTCGTTTATTGGTGTATTTGCGTATTTGTTTATTTTTCACTTTTCTTTTATTTGTCTGCTTTGTTAATTTATTTGCTTGTTTATTTGTGTATTTGTGAGTCGAGGGCGCTCACCGAGGTAGAAGGCGCCGTCGGAGGCGAGCGGGAGCGGCAGCGTGGGCGCGGGGCGCGGCCGCGCCAGGGCCAGCCGCCCGTCCAGCCACAGCTCGAGCGCCGACGGCCCCAGGCGCGCCGCCAGCGCGTGCCAAGCGCCGTCTGCCAGCGACGGCGCCCCCGGCAGCACCAGCGCCTCGCCCGCGCCCTGCTCCGCGCCCGCGCCGCCGCGCCGCGCCCAGCCCAGCTTCAGCCGCCCGCCCTCCAGGCCCACGCCCACGAACTCGCCCGCCTGCGTGCACACACCCGCAAGCAAGTGAACATACAGCGCGCCTTGGAGTAAAGGTTACAATCTTCTAAGCATTGTGGGGAATCGCAAATGATCACATTTTGCCAATGAACATGTGATGGAAAATTTCATCTCATCTGCCCCTGATTGGTAGGCGCCTCATCAAGCGTTGGTGATGGAGAGTGCTCAAAATCTTCTTAACTGCGCCACATCCTTCCAAAAAGCAGTTCGGTACAAGTTTGTGATAATTATTTTGTGACATTCTGTTGCTTATATGCCTACTATACACTGAGCGATTTAAGCATTTATATCCATTGTTATTTGACTGCACGTAGCTTTCCAATATTTTGAAAAAAACACGGGAGGAATTGCGTTGCTCTCCCAACCACAATTCGTGAGGAGCGGTACTTCCCCTCCAGGAACACGACTTCGAAAGCTTATTCTATCTCATTCGCGTAAAAATGATAAACAGCAGCATAATGAGTCGTCTAGTCTTTTCTCGCCATTTTGTAGCTTTCACCTCCATTGGAATTGCATGCTCGGGTCAGGCAACACTCCTCTTTTTTCCGTCGACAATTAGCTGAGACACAATGTGTTTAGTGAAATAAATGGGCCACAGGATATCTTCTCCCTTACCTTTCGCGCATGCGTAGGCCAACTGTTTCCTCGAAGTTATTATTACTTACTCATTATTAACTCTTGTGTAGATCACGCTCGGAAATGAATTAAATGTGAGAGAAGTTGTCGATTGAGTTCTTTACTCAATATACGCTTTAGTTAAATATTAAACTCGGTTTGCGTGAACGTTCATTTGACACGTAAACTATTAATAAACAACAAAGATGTATGAGAATATGGTAAGAGGGTTAGAAAGCAAGTGAAACAATGTGATCTCTCTAGGCGAGTCTTTGCTTTTACTAGCTTGTACACACTCCCCCTTCTGTCCTCTCAGCCAATAAGCTAGTAAAATCACAAAGTGCAATCAAGCTAACAATTGAGATAGTAGTTTAATGATATGTACTTAATTGATTGTAATTTTTAAAAAGCTCTTGATAGAATGCATTTACTACCTGTAAGGTGTGAAGAATTGAATTACTAATGATAAAATTTTGCCATCCAAAATGTTCATTAGCAAAATTGATATCTTCGACCCCTCTACGTGCTCTAGAAGTTTGTTACATTTATTCTTAAACACTTTGTATAAAATAGTTACTTTAAGGAGGCGACAGGTCTGGAAACAAATTAATGGCACGTAGGGCGATGGCAGTTCAAGACAGTGATAAACTCATTTACACATGAACTGACTGTAAACGAACGTGTAGAGGAATTGAGTGTAAGGATAAAACCTGCAGTTATGTTGCCAACAGTAGTCAAATCAGCGGTCCCTTCTTATAGTAATCTCTTTATATAAGGGATACGTGTCGGGATGGGGTGGGGCGCGTTTACCCTGGCGGTCCAAAGCAGCATGCCGTCGGGTTGCGTGGTGGAGAAGTTAAGGTAGAGGAAGCTGATGTTGAGTGCGGGCGTCGGCGCCTGCTGCGGCTGCGACGTGGGCATCTGCTGCAGCTGTTGAGGCGGCCGCACCACCAGGTAGCCGTCCCCGCCGAACTGCGGCGCCGCCACGCTCACCGCTGCACCACGCACGCACGCACGGCACACACATAAGACGGAAAAACAGAGTTATTGTTACGTTGGTAGTATTAAATTTTGGCTTTTTGCACAAACGTGATTGCGTTTTTAGCCGAGACCGATAGCCCGATTTATAATTTACACAATTGTCATCAATTTCTTAAAAATTACAATACACAGCCTAAATATTTGCAAAAATGTCTACTGATGTGTTTGTCTGTAGATGGTGGACATTTTTAACATGTAGTCAAATACATAGAGTAGTAATGTAGTGTTGACTTTTATTTACTGTTACTTTCTCGCGCTTAAGAAGGAACTTTTTTACTATATATTTGGAAAATATATTTTTATTTTAGTGTTTAATTTTTTTGTATTATCTTACTGACTTTTTCTCTCCAATATTCTTTGTACAATCTTAATTATTTAATCTTATTTTGTTTTATTTCAATATCTCATTAATATCTTATGTCATTAAACCCCATTAAATGGAGTTGTGAAGTAACAAACAATTTTATGTCAATAATACTTATGAGTGACAAATCATTATTTTCAATCCTTCAATCAAAGAAAGACTAAAAATCAGAAAAATGCGGAAGGATGAAGAGCAGACCAGGGAAAAATTGCAATATTTTTGTGAAGAATTGAAATACGATTCGTATCTTCAAATACTTCGATCAACTTTCCTTTCCTGAGCGCGCCTTAGGAGGGGAAGTGCGACGCGAACTTGTGTGGACAACTGTTACATTCAAAATATCCGTTGGACATGAGTCATAAAAAATAAAAATTACTCAAACAATTCTTATCTAACATATGACAATATGTATGTCATTGGATTCGTGTATTTGCGCTCGTCATGATTTACTAGAAAAATGTATAATTCCATTTCAAAAAAACAGTTACCTTTGTATCCTGTAAAATATAAATGATAAAGTAGAAACGAATACATGTGTCAATTAGCTCAATTCCTTCATATACTTCCGTGAAAATTACATTGCGATAATTTCAACCGTTCAAAAACTGAAAGAAGTTCTAAAGTTATATGATTCACTTGTATATTTAAAATAAACTCGGCAAAATTGTTAATAATAATAACAATAATAAACATGTTGAAGATCGTCGCTGTGAACGTCTCAGGCAGCGAATATTAAAGCCACAATCAGGCAGTACTGCAAGCATCCCATGTGGCACGAAACATAAAATGATCCAACAATTAGTCCCATTTAAGCAATAATGAGTGTGGGCTTGATTCTTGACTCCAGGCGTTAGATTGATTAACTGATACTTCGAGGCACGTCAACTGCTTTGGGCATTAGACCTGTTTGTGTAGTGAATCTCTGCAGGTGGCAGTGTTCCTCCCTCGCTGGTTGTGAGATCCGAATCCGACGTAAAGATCGGCCGCGTTGTTATCCTCCAGGTATCTCTCAAAGCGGGACACCGCCCCATCAGGGACAAAGTCGAGACTTTCAATTGATCTCTCGATATATCTGGTAGTGTAGTGCACATAAGTGTTAGTGCATGAAAGAAGTAAGGGCAGGATAAGGCAGAGGAAGGAAAGATGCATGGTCCGTTTGTAAGGGTATCGCTCTTGTGTAATAGGTGAAACCACGGAAAACTACCAGTACGAGCAGCCATCCGCTAGAATGGTCCTCCTGACAGGAACTGATCTCGACCTAGCAACGTAGCTGGTGTCGGAAATTCTGCCGTGCAACGTGGGGACTCCAACCTTTGCGACTCGCCGCCGAGACCCACCTTGCTCGCAGAAGGCGCCGGCCCAGCCCAGCGCGCAGTGGCAGCGGCCGCGCACGCCGTCGCCCGCCACGCAGCGCCCGCGGCCCGAGCAGCCCAGCTGCGCGCACGACAGCGCCGTCTCGCAGCGCGGCCCTGTGTAGTGCTAGCCACACACACACACACACGTTCTCGCCTTCAAATTGCCGTAGGCATCGCGCGGCGCTCAGCGATTCTAATGATAGGTGCTGTAATGCGTCAGGGAAGACTCTCCGCACTGGGCCTCGTATTAAAAATTGCATTTATGTTGGTAGCAACCAGATCATTGCGAAACGAATGTAAGGAACAACACTTCCAGCGTCTTCTGTTATGATTGGGGTGAGTATGCAATTCACTTTTTACGTGCTGCAGCTACCAACATCATTTCCTAGCACTCTCGCCAGCAAGGTGCCTCTGCGGAGAGACTTTCCTGTCACCCTGTAGTTGTTTTTTGAAATACTGAGAATGAAAACAATCTCCAAAAAGTGCCTTCATTTAAAAATTCTAATTCACTATAATCTTGGTTTTCGGGGGTATCAATTTTTTTTCATGTTATTATATTTTTTTTCAATGAATAAGTCTAAAAAATTGAGACAATCGTCTCAAATTTTGAGTGTACACAATATCTTAGAAGAACTGTTAGAAATTTATAAGATACGTGAAGAAGACGAAGATGATCGCTTTACGGTAATCATTATGTAATGTATTGATGTGGCAACATCTGGGGTTATATAAAATTTACCAATACATGTTCATTTGCAAAACGTGTGCATCTTCGACGCTTCTTCATGCCCTAGAAGTTTGTAACATGTTGCCGATTCGCCTTTATCGGGTAAAGGTTCGCGTCCTTTGGGAAAGGGGTGGCGTGGGGTGGGCACTCACGGGCGGGCAGGAGCAGGCGGCGGCGCCGGTGGCGTTGAGGCGGCACGTGCCGCCGTGGTCGCAGGCGTCGCCGCCGCACGCCGTGCCGTCGCAGTCGGCCAGGTTGCGCCCGGCGCGCAGCGAGGCGGCATCAAGCGGCACGCGCTCCCAGTTGAGCGCCAGGCGGCGCACGCAGCCGCGCAGCGACGTGGCGGGCCCCGCCAGGGCCCCCGCCGGCAGCCACGACAGGTCCGGCACGCCCCCTGCCACACACACACACACGCCCTGGTCTTTGCGACTCCCTCTCCATCCTCCTTCTCCCTCCCTTTACCTCCTCCATCCCTCTTCCTCCCTCCCTCCCCCTCCCTTTCCCTCTCTCTCTGTCTCTCTCTCCCCCTCTCCATCACCTATTTCTCTCTACTTATGTCTCTCTACATTGTCCGTCCTTTCCTTTATTTGTAACTCTCCAAAAGTGACTATCTTTCCCCTTTTCTCAGGTCTTCCCTCTCGCAGTGTGCGTATCTTCTTAGAACTCATTTTATTTTATTTCCTTCCTTTTTCTCTCTCTATTTCTCTTGACAGAGAATAAAATGGTACCAAACATGAAATAGTAAATTATGCCATTAGTTTATAATGTTATTTGCGTGAATAAGAATAGCCGCATGAACAACGAAGGAGTGAATGCGGCTATTCTTATGAGTGCAAAAAAGTAACATTATATACGAATTGAATACGTTATTTTTTGTACATAATTATAAAAATATTACAAGGAAAAATTGGTTACTGAACCTAGAAGTAGAATGGTATGTTACGTACATAATGTAGGGCAAGGTCGACTGTAATAGGGGCGGCCGTGATTGGCCTGGGTGTTTATTGTTCGCTGTGAAATGGATTTACCAGAGGGAATAATTAATAAAGTTTCTGAAGCAGAATTGTCGCTAATACCTAGAAAATCAACTGAAAATTATGAAAAAGAAAATGACACATTTGTAACTAGGATGGAAGAGAAATATACGAATGGCATTCAACTAGTGTCGCAGAACAATATATTGAGGAGTCGGCAGCAAATAAGGTTGAAATCGCCAGGACAATTGTATCTGGGGGAACGACGCCGAGCACAGGCGAACTTTCAACACCTCACACTTCAACTGAAACAACAGTTTCTAGAAGGTCTGGATTTTCTTTTACGAATATTTTGAACAACACATTTCATTTGCATTATTAATAAGTGTTTCTTGAGTAATGATGAGTTAAATTTATGTTTCGTAGTGTTGCTTGTGTCGATTTGTAATTCTTGACTTCTGTGTTACGAGTACGCCGTGCTCCCGATAAGTGTTTGATAACGTCTGTTATTTTATTGAACTAGTTTCAGAATCTCGCAGTTTCTGTACGATTTTCGATGCCATAAAAGATTGTGTATAATGTTGGTATACAAAAAATTTATTTCTCCCCCATTTTTTGTGTCATTCTCCCTTAATAACGATAACCGCAAGAACGCACTCACAGAAATATTGAAAATACGCGGATTGTCTGTTGGATTCAATTGTTTCCCAGAAGACGTCCTAGCGGCGTCTTATGGCGATTCATATAGAAAACGTACAGATTTGGTGCGCGTCGTTTGGAGTTTATACTACTAGATTGAAATTATTCTTCTTGATTGATTCTATCAAGAAAACCGTACCGTGTATACCGGCCTTTACCCACGCCAACGGGTAAAAGAGCTATGTGGCAAGCACCTTCCACAGAATCTAGCATACTTCGCGTGCCTGATCTTACATTCGGCAAATGTAATAGCAAGATTCAGTTAAAACTTTATCCAAACCGGGCATCGGCCCTGGGATCATTCAATTGAAAGCTAGCCCGCTTTGGAAATACGTTGATGATTGGGTGTGAGCGTGGGCGAGGCGAGCGCTCACCGAGGTAGAGCAGGTCGCCGGGCGGGGCGGGCGCGTGCGCGGGCGGCAGCAGCGCCGAGCTGACGGAGCCGTCCACGCGCAGGAAGACGCGGCGCCCGTAGCGGCCGGCCAGCACGCGGTGCCAGCGGCCCAGCGCCAGCACGCGCCCGCTGCGCAGCACCAGCGGCTCCCACGCGCCGCGCCCCGCGCCTCCCGCCGCGCCCGCACCTGCACCACACAGACAAACAAACATTGACGACATCTTCAGTTCCGTCAGTGTAAGACATGTATTTTTCTGTTGTTGTTGTTTTTTTATTGATTGTTTAGTGACACGTCAACTACCAGCGTCATTTTCTGTTTTCCTATCTCTCTGTAACACTCTCACACACAAACATTGAGACACATAATTTGACACGTATTTATTTTCTCCGCTCCCTTTCGTTCTGTCTGTCTATCTATCTATCTATCTATCTATCTATCTATCTATCTATCTATCTATCTATCTATCTATCTATCTCACTTTCTCTCTCGCTCTCCTCTATTCTTCAAGTTCTCTCGCTCTGGTTCTCTCTTGCTCTCGTTCTCTCTCCCTATCGTACTCTGCCCCTCTCGTTCTCTCCATCTTGATTCTCGATCCCCAGCCCTCTCGTTCTCCCTCCCTCTAATTTTCTCGCTAATTCTCTCTATCATTCACGCTTATTCTCTGCATCATTCTCTCTGTCTGTGTCTTCGCCATCGTCTGCGCGTGCGCGTACCTGAGGAGAGGCGCAGCTCGAGCACGCCGCCCTGCATGGAGAGCGAGAGGAAGGCGCGCGCGTGGCCCGCGCGGGGGCGGCCGCGGCCGCGTCGGCCCGCGGGGCCCCAGCCGCCGGCCGAACCCACCAAGGCCGCCCGCTCCGACTGCCGGCCGCAGCTCCAGCTGCAGGCAGGCGTGCGCGGCGCGCAGCGCCCCGGCGCCGCCCACCGCCGCGAACGAGCGCGTGCCGCTCAGCGCCACGTCCGTCAGCTCCTCCTCTGCGCACGCGCACGGCTCCTTCAGGCCACCTTCGGTGCGCGCTGCGCCCGCGCCTGCTCCACACACTCTCAGCTACGTGGCCCAGGGCAGTCTTAACCTCCTGCCTTAGATAGTACGATTTATTTAGTCGTGCACATGGCGCATATCAGCTGTTGCGGTTTCATCCAATCGGGAACCCCCACGTCCCAACGGTGACATCACTATGGGGACGTTTAAGTTCCCGATTGGATGAAACCGTGAATAGCTGATTTACTTCAAATGCACGGTTAAATAAATCATAGTATATAATGGCAAGCACTGGATTCCTGAGGTCACGAGCCCCGTTGAGAAGAAACTTTCGCGAATCAATTAAAAAGATTCATTTTAAAAGACAGGAGGTGTACCATTGACCTAATGCCGTCGGCTACTACAGAAAAATCGAAGTATAAGCCTTAAATCAGCCAGGAACTAGTCAGGATGTCTGCCGCAGATGCAGACAAAACGTCTGGAACAACTGAAAATTCAACTGGATCACAGTCTATCAGCTTTTCAACATTGACGTCGGCCGTGTAAAATTGTATTGTTTTATGAACAATCTCACAAGTTTATATAAAAACCAAATTTGTATAAACATAAAATGTTTACGCAACATTTTGTGCATTCTTGGAGCACTGTGTACATTGGATTCGGATTCCTCAGATTCGTTTGACTAATGGCGATTTGTGGGCACGTTAACTGCTGTGGTCATTAATTTCACAGGTGTAGTGCATGCTTTATCCCTGGAGGTGGTGGTGTATGTTTCCAGTCTAAACGTGCGCCGACCTACCGGGGTGCCGACGTACAAGTCATCTTGTGGGTTTCCCCTCCAGATACCACGCTTCAGAGTGGCGCTGCCAGTTACTAAGCTCCCGTCTGGTCTTCTGGCATGTGTGGTAGTGTAGTGCACGCAATTGTTAGGACGCGTCTGTAAGGGAAGAAGATAAGACTAGAAAGAGGAAGGGTAGATCGCCCGTGCTGCGTTGTTTCGTTGGTTAAGGCACTGCTCTGGCAGATGCTTTGTAATGATCCGAGGAACAACGGAAACGTATCACTTCCGACAGCTTGCCGCTAGAATTCTTTTTCGTAATAACGGAGAAATTTAATTGAGAGTCGTACAACGTTAAGGTAAATTGAACTATTAGATTACAAGGAAATAAATGCCACTTAGTGTAAAATAAATTATTACGATACACGGGCGGATATGTCATTTTCGTATGGAAAATCGTTTCGAAATTCCGGCTCCTTGTGTCTCATCATCTAGAATCATCTCACTCGTAATGCAATAGTTGCTGCCTGTGTATTGTCAATTACAATACAACATAATCTCGAGCACCATGATTATGGGTCTCTTGGAAACAGCTGTAGCACCTGCAGAATCTTAGATCACAAAGTTCGAGGGTTTGAGACCCCACGACGATGGATATTCCACAGCAGCTACAGAGCTGCTAATTCGACCGCTTCCTGGAGGAGGATTCTAGGTGCCCTGATCTGATCATTAGTTTTCTGTTTCAAAACCAGGTCCCCACCTTGCCAAACCCGTCACGCACCGCACGCCGTCTTTCCTTTTGTATCCTGACATTTACTTTTCTCTTACACAGACGTACTCTTACATGCACCACTTTTCAACATGAATCGGGATCAGGCGGGAGCTTAGAGGTTGCACCGACTAGGATGCGCTGCCTTGCTGGCAGATACCAGAAAGGGAAAACCCCGCAAGCCGGCGTGTATGTTTGCACCGGATCTCAGTTCTAGTTAGGGAGAACGCCGCCACCTCCAGCGCTGTAACTGGAGCAACCCTTAAGCAGTCGCAGTGACTCACCGCGCTCGCAGCGCGCGCCGGCGCGGCCCACGGGGCAGTCGCAGGCGAAGCCGCCGGGCAGTGGCACGCACGTGGCGCCCTCGGCGCAGTCGTGGCGCGACGCGTCGCACGGGTTGTGGCGCTGCGCGCACACCGGCCCGAACCAGCCCTCGGGGCACAGGCACCTGCACAAGCGCTCGCCTCACCGCTCCGCACTCACAAACTCTTTCTCTCTGTCTCGCTCTCTCTCACACACACTCTTTGTCTCCCTCTCGTTCTCCCTTTCTCACTATTCTCTTTCTCTCCCATTCTCTCACTTTCTCTCTCCCTTCCTCTCTCCCTCTCTTTCTCTCTGTCTCGCTCTCTCCCTCTCTTTCTCTCTGTCTCGCTCTCTCCCTCACACACTCTTTCTGCCTCCCTCTCTCTCTTTCTTATTATTCTCTTTCTCTCCCTTTCTCTCCCTTTCTCTCACTTTCTCTCTGCCTTCCTCCTTTTCTCTCGCTTTCTGTCTCTTTTTCTCTCTTTCTCTCTCCCTCTTTCACTCTTTATTTATTAATTTCTCTCTCTCCTTCACTCTCTGTCCTTTGTACTCTCCCTTGCACTCTCTCTCTCACACTCTCTCTTATACTCTCTCACACTCTCTCTTACATTCTCTCTCACACTCTCTCTCTTAGTCTCTCTGGTATATAAAGAACTGTTTGTGTGAAGAGTATTAATGTAAGACTGTTTTACGCCCTTGCGGCACACCTACGTCCACCGGCACTCACGTGAAGGATGCGCCCTGCGCGAGGCAGGCGCCGCCGTGCTGGCACGCGTGCTCGTGGCACTCGGCCGTGCCGCACTGCCCCACGCCGCGCCCGGCCGCGGGCCGCGTGCGCCCCAGCGCCACGGCCGACCGGCCCGCGCGCAGCTCCACGTCGAACAGGCAGCCCGCGAAGCCCGTGTGCAGCGGCAGGTCGTGCGGCAGCAGCGAGAAGTTGGCCGACTCGTGACCCCCTGCGCACACCAACGGACCTGATGGAGCAACTTCCTCTACCTCCCGTACTTCCCCAAACTGATTTTACTGTTTGTCTAGACTTTCTCGCACCTAAAAGCAGCACGTATGCTCCACGTATGACGAACAAAAATGTATACAATGTTTTTACAAAAGCTTAACCATAACAAGGACTCGTTTTCATGTAGCTTTTACGTGTTTATGCCGCGCGGCTTCCGCCCTTCTCAAGTCACTTATCATTTGTCTTTGCAAAGTATTGGGTGGTCGACCGCGCTTTGTTTTCCCGCAGAAGGCATAGTCATGTCGCTAGAGCAACGAGTGCCATGGCCCGCGACCGCTGGTAGAGACGGCAACAAAACAAAAGATATTTTGTCGCCGCGCACCCGGTATTTACAGCCGTGAAGTATATGGCGTGTGAATTCTAATGTATGGTGTCTAATTTTACAAAATTAGATGATGTTGCTTCTGCTTATAACAACTCGTATTTTTGATTTGTTGTAGTGACGTCTGTGATTAGAAGAGGCTTACGGCAGGAATTTTTACGATTGTTGACTATGGCAAATCGTGAACTGAATGATCAATCTTGAATTTTTGTATCCTGCAATTTATATGTGTATTTTTTACCTCAACATTTATCAGCACATACTATACATAATCAGTAAAATATACTACTTTATTTTAGTGTTATATACTATTTAGTGTTATATATAGTATTTAGAATTAGTATTTGTATGTATTGTGTGTATGTTAGTGTGTATTTAGTACTCGTAATAGTATTTAGTGTTATTTGCTGTTTTAATATATTTGCGACTTCATTTTTGTTTCCTTATTCTCCGATCTTAGTTTGTACCGACCGCGAAAGTTCTGGTCCCGCAGTGACCATGAGGTGTTCTCGTGTACGGAGGCGGTGTGCTCACCGAGGTAGAGCACGGAGCGCGTGTGCTCACCGAGGTAGAGCGTGGGGCGCGTGTGCTCACCGAGGTAGAGAGTGGAGCGCGTGTGCTCAGCGGGGTAGAGCGTGGAGCGCGTGTGCTCACCGAGGTAGAGAGTAGAGCGCGTGTGCTCACCGAGGTAGAGCATGGATCGCGTGTTGAGCTGCGAGAGGCGGCCGGGCGAGCGGCCGCTGACGTTGCCCAGGTTGTCGACGAGCAGCCAGGCGTGCTGGCCCACGCGCCCCAGGCGCACCAGGTGCGGGCGGCCGGCGCGCGGCGCCACCGGGCGCGGCGTGAAGATACGCCGTGGGCCTGCAACACAGCCCGCACGCAGGCCGCGTGTCAATTGAGGACCGAATAATCCCTTGACCATTTCGTGAGAAACTTACTTTCTAATTTTACATGTAAATTGCGGACCAAATCAATCCAGAAAATGAAAAGAACTGATTGAGCAGGATACCGCGTTAGGGGACCGCCGCCGCGCTACTGTGCTGCTTTTCCTTGTGGCTTATTGAAAATCTTCCATACGCTTCCCTATATTAAAATGAAAACCAAAGATAACACTAGAAGAGTTTCTAAATTCCATGTGCAGCGTTATGCAATGTTAAGAGAAACAGGGAGAATATAAAAATTGCAAAAAAACAGAATTAATTCAATCAACGGATAATTCGATTGGGTGCAAACCATCTTTAAACAAACTATATTTTGAACGAAATGTCAATCCTATATCTGAAAATTGGGGAGACAGTTGTGTTTTAAAACTAATGGCTATGATGAAAGAATTATGAGTCGTCATTGCCAACATTATTGTTTATTACAATAGCAGCTTCCGATGGCTTAGTTGGATGGATCAGTTTAGTACATGAAAGAAAAATTAAAACGTTAATATTTTTTGATTTGACAACAAAATTATAATAAAAAGATTACTAATAATTTACAATTTCTAGAACATATTTCTTCGCACTCATATATTCAACATTCTAAGAACTGAAAGAAAGAAAGGGGGTGGTAAGTCATATAATATTACAATAAAAGTGAAATTCAATTTGAACATGTAAAATTTGAAAACAGAAAACATGAAAAAGTAAGTCGAGCACTTTTCTTACTCGCTGTATGGAAGCCACAAAAATGACTACGCGGGTTCGGGCGAGCCAAGTAGCTTAAGTACCCGGCTGTGAGGTAGAGGAGGCTAATGGCCTGATTGCGGTGCGCGGTCTACTGTGCCACCCCGTAAGAGTGCAGTGTGGGAGTGGTGTGTAATAATGATTTTAGTAGAGCAAAGGGGCCGTGGTTTATGTTTTCATTCAGTAAGTTGTTATTTAAAAGTAAATGAAGATTTTCTAAAATTAACCTGGTGTGATATTGATTTTCTTGTCAGATTTTCTTCGCACTCATGGCAATTTAATGAATAGACGCCCTTTTTTCTAAAAGATCTGTGTGTTGTTTGGGGGGCAGCATTTTTTGAGGGAATTCTGAGATTTCAAAGCAGGTATCAAAGTTTCATTCAAATCTTGTTTAACCGTCGACTAGAGGGGTTTTCCCCAATCAGGTATCTCTAATCAGCGGGGCACAGCCCCAGCTGAGACAAGCTCTTAGTACCCGAACGGTCTCCCAGCATGTGTGGTAGTGTAGCGCATGTTAGAGTGTGTGTGTGTGTGTGTGTGTGTGTGTGTGTGTAAGGGGTGAGGTTGTTGATAGCAGAAACCACGGAAAACTGCCGATCAGAGCAGCCGGTCGCAACCATTCTTCTCAAGACAGGGAGTGAAACCGTCCCAACCGGAATTCGCTTCAATTTCCCGACTTGTCCTCCGATATGTGTGGTAGTGCAGTGCATCTAACTGTGAGTATATGTATAAGGGGAAGGGAAGGGACATGGATGAGAAATAAAATATCGCTCACGATGCTTGGTCCGTTTGTAAGGTTATTGCACGTTCATTCGCCTACTATTTATTGCAGGAAACCTTGTTGGCACTACTGATCAGTGCACCCGTTCTATTAGAGTCCGCATCAGTCTGCTGCTGAATTCGACGTAGCTGTGTAGCTAATATCGAAGATCCGCTTCCTACGGAGAACCTCAGAACCTACCAAAGTGAAGGTGGGATTATTCAGGATATGAATTGCTTATAGTTCTTATCTAGAATCTGTTTACAATTTTCATCCAGGAGGGGTGTCAATTAACTCGGTTTCTCACCTGGCATGAAAAATCTGACACAGTCAAGACTAGATCCTACTACAGAACTTAAATTTCCAATTGGCAAATATATAGGTTAATGCACCCAGTAAACATGAAAGTAATGCTTTTAAATAATTGTAATGCTAAATTGTGATACTTTGTGTCAACAGTTTTGATATACATCAATACATTTTATAAGATAAACTGCATTGATATTTATAAATGAAATTATGCATATTTATTATACATTATGCTTAATAAACAAAATAGTGTATTGATCTTTTATTCTCGCGTCTGGTTCACTTGGTCTTCAAAATGGTATTTTTTAATACTGTTTATTGAGCTGATATTTGAATAATTTGAGGATTCGTCCAGCAGATGAATAGTTATGGTTCTCACTGTCCTGTTTGTAATATGAGTGGTAATTGAATCACTTATGTTCAATTACCAAACGGGTATTATTTACTAAAATCGCTGGTGTGCATCAGGTGTTACGTCTTTCAACGGGGATATCTCCATCGTTATAATATATATAATTATCCCTACTATTGGGTAAATATGTATTCTATATGAAATTGAGAATATTTCTGTATTGCTCTTCACTTCATACTGGATCTTAGAAACGCTTACTTATCTACTGCTGAAGGTAAACCCAAAACAAGTTATTTCGCATCATCAACATGTATGACACAAGCGGGACATCATTAATCTTAAAGCTGTTTCAAACTTTCGTATTGGACGTTATGTTAGCCATACAGCGGTTCGAACACCGCTCAACGTGAACCATCGATCATGTTCCTGTCAGACTGGGAGAGGCGCTTGTGTTGATGAGTGGAGTTGACGGTGGTGGACACCCGTCAAAAGGAGCCCCTTGCGAACCGGCGTGTTAATATATGTGCGTGTGTCTGTATGAGTATGAAACCAATATAAAAATGTCGTTGTTATTAAGTGTAGGCAGAAAATTCAACATTTGATCACTCTGTCCTCAAGCAAGACAAGGACATTTTTCTAAACGCGAAAGAGTTCTTATAAACCATTGGAGGTCAAAAGCTGATTTTGAGAGAATTTTCAATTAAGAATAAAATGTATGACAGGTAGACAGCAAAGAATCAACACGCACCTGTAATACTACACCTCACCATTTGTTTTAACCGTAAGAGAGCAGTTTTTCAAGTTAGCAAAAGGTGGAAACTACAGAATTAAGAATGTCTTATTTTTAAATCTCACATATAACTCCAATGATTCGAGATACAACTAGGGTTATTAAAGTTACAACTAAGACAATGTATTATCGTTGTTTACATTTTCAATAGTTAATAATCAAAATTAACCTTCAAAATATTAAATGTAACAATATTATGAAGGGTTGCGAAATGAAAATAACATTGTGTATGAGTTGTAGAAACTCCTAGTAAAGAGACAGTTGACGGATGAAGCGTCGGTTACCTTCGACGCAAGTTTTGTCGAGAGAGGGTGGATCGAGTTCGAAAGAGAATGGACGCTTGAATCTAGGCCTGAAACATTAACGTGAAATTCTGGTTTTAAGACAAATTAGTAGCGATTTCAGGATATTGGAAGTTTGGTGAAAGCTTGGGGAAGATACTTCAGCAAATTAATCGGTGGTTCTCAAGGAAGGAACAATATATCCACGGATGAGAAGAAGTTAACATTTCCCGATGGATTGGAATTGCATTTGCTGTATTGAAATTACTAATAATATTCTTTGTGTTCGACTGACAGTGTCCTTATTTAAATTATCTCAAGATAGAGGCCAACGGACAGCGACGTTTGGTGAGTTGCAATACTGCGGCAGCTGAATTATTTGTCGGTGGTACAAACAATCGCGATGTGTGCTTACGCTGTTGGAGGAACTTTGGGTCCAGAAAATTCGTAACAGAAGAATAAATGACTAAAATAAAAACGAAACGGACAGTAATTAACATTAGAAAGAAATCATCGAGAATAAATATTCTCCCCCCACCCGAGCGCTTACTAACGTCAAACAACAGCGACTAAACATGGACAAGTTACGTTAGTCATGTAGCGTGGCCTACACGCCAATAATAATAATAATAATAATAATAATAATAATAATAATAATAATAATAATAATATAAAAATTATTTCCCTACTTACGATCATAGATATTGTTGTATGTAATATTATATTTAATAACAATTAGTAACTAATTACAATTAATAACTCCTTACCCCAATTAATAAGTACGTGTCTAACACGGTAATACGACAGTCATATTTTTTCAATATCTATGTACCAACACTTTTCTGCTAAAGATGCCATTCCAACACCACACAAACCACACACATACCACTGGTCACGCACACACACACAATACATGATTTACGCAAGTGCGACCTGCACGGCGGCAGGCGTGGGGCTGCGAGGGGAGCGGACGCACCGGAGCCGAGGTTCCAGGTGAGCACGACGTAGCCCTTGATGAAGCTGACGGCGAGGTGGTCGGCGTGGGCGTCGTGCGCGCCCTCCTGCCCCACGAACGCCAGCAGCGCCACCTGCTCCGCGGTGGCCGGCCGGAAGCGGAAGCGCAGCTCCAGCGAGTGGTGCAGCGGCGCAGGCAGCGGGTACGCCATGAACGACGCCAGCCCGCCCACCGACGCCGAGAACGACGCCTGCGCGATGTCCAGGTCTGCAAAACTCACACGCGGTCAGAGTTCGCAACTGTTGGCAGCTGAACCTTCCAGGGAAAAAATCTAGTGCTGAAATAGCTCACACTTTCTCCCCCGTTCTTTCACCCAAAATTGCGCGAAAAATACTAACATTTTCGAAAAATTGTACCTGACCTTCTTTCAAAATCTATCTTTAATGAACAGGTTTCAGCAAGCAAAAAAATCTTTATCTTTAATATTTTAGTTGTAGGAAGACTGAAAAAAGGCTTCAACTTCTGAAATTTTTAAAAATGAGAGCTTTCAATAAATATCAGACCTGTACCATTCTCTTAAACGTCCTTCACACTATCCGACAACAAAATTTAATAAAAAACGATAAAGTCTTTTTAATTTTGAAAATGCCTCAGGGACTTCCTGTTAAGTACCTCCTAGAATTAAAATAGCGGTATCAAAAATCAAGGGACCGCGACGAATTTTCAGACGAGTTGATCAGTCAGATCGATTCGGGAATATCAATTTTGGAGAAAACCGTCTGAACGGTTTAGCCGCTTGCGTTGTTCAGAGTCGGACGGACAGACAGAAGGATGGACAGACGATTTGCCGTCATTCGATTTTTCGGTTTCAAGGACACCAAAACACCTTGTAACACCACGTGTTTCGAAATTTAGCTACTGAATTTATCCAATTTTTAGTTTCCAGTGCCCTTGTATTAAAAGTTTTTCTGAAGAAAATTGACTGTTTTTTCGCGAAGTCTACTGATCAAACGGTCGCGCGAAATTAAAAACTTAAACGTAAATATCGTTCACGTCCATCTGGTTTCTGTCCAGTTTCCTTTCATCCATTGACGAAAAGCTGAGGTGATCCCTTGCTTTACTTCTATACATTACTCTGTGCACACGTTTTTGGAGTTTTTTTTTCAATTATTCAATTTTTCTAGTGTGCAAAGGGGGAAGGGGTAGTTATTTCGTCTGCAGTAATATCAAATCAAATCTCCACGAAGCGCTGGTAGGGAAGTGTTCTTTCAATCTTTCACACACAAAAAAATCTTTGACTTTATTTTCTCTTATTACATAATTATCAGACAAAGCATAGATCAGGGTTGATGTTTCTAGTCAAAGTCAAAGTCCTTATGTAGATTTTGTTTCCAGGATTTCAAGTACAATCTTTTTCAGCTGCTTTCTCTTTCTGAAAACGTCATTTTGTAGCAAGGAGGGGAGTGGCAATGCAGCCACTGCGGAGTCACATTGAATGCTCTGTACACTAGAATACGTTGCTGAACAAAATGAATGGTGATTATTGCAAATGGCACACTGCTGAACGTTCTTCCACTTCTCAACTAGTAATTGGCCGTATATTCGCATGCATATGTGTGATTATTCTATAATAATAACAATATTTATTTTACGCCTACGAATTTTGTGTTTTTATTTTTAGCGGCGGTCTTAAACCAACCGGCGCTGCAAGCAGAAGTTTGGTTGGATCGTGTAGGAAATAAGATCAGCACTCGCCGGCTTTACAATTTTGTGTTACTTTTGTTCTTTATTGGTTAATGAAGACGATGTGCGCGTTTGATCATCTCCGAGACATCATTTGCATATCTTCCGGCGACACTTTGACCCTGTATTTTACGTGGACAAGATTTGGATAGCCGACGACTCAATGTTGTAAGAAGTTGCATTTATTAATTAATTCATTTATTATTTATTGTGCCTTTATCTTTTATTTTCCAATCAATCCGTTCTTGTGTTTTGACCTTTACTTCTCTTGATCATAATTTTCATCTATATATTTCAATACCACTCACTTCTTGCTGTGAAATAAGATTTTTCATTGAGCATTTGAAATCACATTTCCCTATAAAATCGTTTGAAATTTATTTCTCATTACAAGAGAGGTCTGTAAAAATGTTAGCTTTTATAAATTAATGAACAAACTCAGAGTAAGCATTTTCAAAATCAATGCTTGATAAATAATTTTTCATAGCACTATAAGCATATATGAAGCACACTCTATTTGAATATTATTACCTGTATAATATGCAATCTTCAAGAGTCAGATTACATGTTGAATATGACTCTTGTTTTTGAATGTCCTTGAGCTGGTCTTTGAAAGATATTGCTTGTTTGGAATGACATCTATTTCTGTACATGGATAATTATTTAATTATATATTTGTATTCATTATTTAGAAGGTATATATATTCAGTGCTACTCTCTACGCCTCTCAGGAAATTTTAAGAAGCCGTATTGTAAGAAATTAGTTCTGTACATATGTTATAAATTATCTTTTAATGAAAACCCAATAGAAAACTTCTCAGTTCCTAAAAATAGATTTTGAAATTACGGATTTTCTTCAGATAAGTAGATTTTAATATTGAAATTCGAATAACTTTGGAGTTTTATTCGTTTTATTTACGAACTGGATTGAAATTTAGTATTCTGCAATATTCACTTTGTAGAGGTTTTAAAACCACAGTTTTCGAATGTTCATATTGCGTAGTGACGTGATACGAAGGTTCGGGCATACGTCATGGCAACATTTGTTTTGTGGGAATACGAGCACGGGTGGAAAATGTGAAATATACACATGAAAGGTCAAGGTATGAACTAAGTGCATGAATATTTAAATAAAAATGTTTTTCTTACGTTTTTAAGGTGTTTGAAATTAATGTATTTGTTTCAAGTTCCAAAAACATTAGAACATACGAGTTCACAACATTCCAAAATCATTACATAACTGTTCTTAAAACCTGATTACGCAGATGCTGGATTACCGCATGCGCCACACCGCTCCGTACATTCACAGGTCGGCACGTACGTTGTCGATCACAGGTTGCTTCGCATTCTAGCGGAATTTCTCCTGCCCATCTCTCGACTGTCCGATAAGGAAGGGTATTCTTTCCAAAAGCTTCCACAAACCCCCAGTGACATTTTCGAGGCCTTTCTCCCGTCGAGAATGCCTAGGCAGGTGTGTGAGCGCTGTTCGAAACCGGCTTTATTCATCTCGCACGGCGGCAGACAGCAGATTTCACATTGATGTCCTAATAGAGCGAACTCTCACAGAGCTAACTTTTATTGTAAGCACACATTAGTACAGCATTTCTTTCAGGCGAGAAATAAAATTGTGTAATCCGGTAACATTTCTTTTAGAAAAGCAAATAGTTGCCGTGACGTCTGTCCCAACCCTCGTAGTAACTTGCTTGGAACGCTTGAGACATGGAGACAAGGATATCAAGATTGTTAGGTTGGAGACCGCGGCAAAGGGATGCTCGCCAACGGCGTGTGGAAAAGAGGATGAGAGTAAGCGGGAGCCGAAGGGGCGGTGAGAGCTAAAAAAGAGAGAGAGTGCGAGAGGGAGAGGGAGAGAGAGCGCGATTGAGAGAGAGAGGGAGAGAGAGAGGGAGAGAGAGAGGGGGAGAGAGAGAGGGAGGGAGAGAGAGAGGGAGGGAGAGAGCACTCAGTCTCTTTTTTTTTTTTTTTTTTTTTTTTAAAAAAAAGAGAGGTGGGTGGGGTGTGCTTTTATTTTCTTAGGCCGTGATAGGGGGCGATTGAGAGAGAAGATAAAAAGAGAAGAGAGGAGTTGGAGCCTGAAAGGGAGAAGATGGGAGAGAGAGAGAGCAGCGGATTTGTAGAGAGAGGAGAGAGGAGAGAGAGATAATAGTGAGAGAGGAAGAAGAAGAGAGAGGGAGAGATGGAGAGAGAGGAAAGAATGGTGTAAAGAAGTAAAGAAAGAATGAGAGAGAATAGAGAAGGAGAATGTGGACGAGAGAGGAGAATAGTGGTGAAAAAGAGAAAGTGAGAGGAAAGTGAGTAAATATAGGAGGAAAGTGGAGCGAAATGAGTGAGAGAGAAGTGCGAGGAGAAAAGTATGAGAGGAGGAAGATCAAGAGAGAGGGTATAAGAGAAAAGGAGAGGAGGGAGAGAGAGAGGGAGGGGAAGAGAGAGAGGGAGGGATAGAGATGAGAGGGAGAGGAAGAGAGAGGGAGAGAGAGGTGAGAGGACAGAGGAAGAGAGAAGGGGAGAGACAGAGGGGAGCGAGAAGGTGAGAGAACAGAGGGAGAGAGAGGGAGAGACATTGAGGGAGAAGACAGAGGGAGACAG